GAAGGTCCTGCACTTCAGGGAGCTCAGGGTGGTGCAGGACATGCCCAGAGCACCTCGGGCTGCCTGGGACCACCTCCTGGCATGGTCTAGAGCTCTCTGGGAATGAGTGTATCCCATGCCATGGCCATGCCATGCCATCCCATCCCTCTCCTCCTCACCCAACCACTTCATCCCTCCCATCCTACCTCCCACCTCCCCCCCATACCCCCGCCCTCAGCCCTGGGTACCACCGGAGCGGGATGCGCCCCCCAGCTCACTGGGACAGCCTTTGTGCAGCCCCTGCTGGTTTGGGCTGGGCGCCACATCCCTCCCTGCAGGCAGCCGCGCCAGTGTCCAGAGGGCCCTGCGCACCCTGCTCGCCGCACCCTGGCCCTCGCAGCGGGACGTCCGCTCCTGCCTCCAGCTCCTCTCCGTCCTGCAGTGGGTGCTCAGCTTCCTGCTGCTGGGTGAGTAGGGGGCTGCGGGGGGTCCTGGCAGGGTGGGTGCGCACCCGCTCACCTCCCTCCTTGGCTCCGGCAGGAATGGTCAGCCTGCTCCTCCTCATCTACCTGGTGTTCACCAGCTTCTGGCCCATCTCCGCGCTCTACCTGGCCTGGATCATCTTGGACTGGGACACACCGGAAAAAGGTGGGGATGGGCACAGCCTCCCCTTCCTCCAGCTTTACAGCAGGGTGGGGTGCAGGGTCCCCCCTTCCTCTGGGTCCATCCCAGCATGGTAAACAGGGAGCACCACGTCCCACCTGCTCCTTCCCTCCTCTGCCCATCATCATCACGATGCCAAGAGGGATGCAGCGGGTCATGCTGCCTGCTGGGGTGGGCGTCATCTCCTGCCGTCCCTCCCTGGTTTGCAGGTGGCAGGAGGCTCATGTGCCTGCGGCGATGGCCCGTGTGGAAGCACTTTCGGGATTATTTCCCGGTGAAGGTACAGTGCGGGGAGCCGGGGCGCCGGGACGGGATGCTCGTGCAGGCGGTGGTGGTGGTACCACCCAAAAGGAGGTGCCACCGTTATGTCCCCACGGCTCCGCTTTGTCCCCGCAGCTGGTGAAGACGCACGACCTGTCCCCCAGCCACAACTCATCATCGGCTCCCACCCCCACGGCATCCTCTGCGTCGGTGCCTTCTGCAACTTCATCACGGGCTCCACAGGCTTTGGGGAGCTGTTCCCGGGCATCCGGCCCTTCCTCACCACCCTGGCTGGCAACTTTCGCCTGCCCGTCTTCAGGGAGTACCTGATGAGCGGGGGTGAGCTTCAGCGGGCAGCCA